GTTGCTGGACCAGCTGTTGTGCACACAATACCCATAAAGTTGCAGAACACACAGATTTTCCTGTTCTAACAAACATGTTTTTTGAGATGTGAGCAAATTTCAGCATAAAACCCACTCTGCTTCAAGCCAGTCTGGCCTTCACCTGCCCTGGGCTGAGTGAAGCGACACTCCCTGCCCTCCAACTGCCTGAAAAAGACCCCGTCCCACTGCCGAGGCTCAGCTTTGTGCTCTGACAGCAGCAGCTATTCAGCAGCAATGGCTGAACCCAGGGGCCAGGTATCCCCACAGAAGATGGTCACAGCTAATCTCCCCTTGGCAGCCTGCCTGGCCCCGCAGACCATAACAACCCCCAGGAACTGGAACGACCCTGTCGTGCCTCGCACACCCTGATCCCTGAGCGAGGGCAGCCAGGTGATCAGGGTATAAATACAGCCAAGGCCCTGGAGAAACCTGATTCCCTGGACCATTTGTCCTGCACAGGTCAGAACCACCTGCACAAGCCACCTTTCTGGTGGGGCACCCACCTCTCCCCTTCCCTCTCCCCTTCCAGAGCACTGATGTGGCAAAGACCCCCACTGTGCTATGCACTGGCTCTGGCATGTGCTGGCCCGGGGGGAGGAATGTGTTGGACCACGCTGGAAGATGTAAGTCCTATTTCCAGCTCTTCCCCTGCCACTTGGGAGGATGGAGAAGTTTCTTCCCTACTCAGTGCCTATTTAAGACACAGGCACAGTTCCCTTCCATGGGCTCGTAGAACAGCCCAGTTCTTTTTCTAGAGAAACAGAAAATGAGAATTCCCCAGTTTTGGCTCTGCTCCCACTCCTTTGAAGGACAGAGAGTCCCTCTGCAGTAAAGGAACAAGGGCTCAAACTCCAGTACCAGTAGAGCTGTGAGCATGCCCTCATACCTGCCAGCCACTCCCTGGGCATGGTTTTGGTGTCCCCATGGCACCGTGAGCACAGCAACACAGCCAGCCTAAGATGACCAAGCCACCTCCAAGAGGAGTAAAGCCTGGCCAGGGCTGGGATCATCCCACCAAGGCCAGGAACACACAGATAAGTTTCAGCAACTGAAATGAGGAAATCATGGTGGAAGAACTTCATTCCATTTCCCAGAGTCCATCATTTTACTTGAGCCCGAATGTTTTGCTGAAATCAAAGTTAAGTGTTTCATTTTCCATTCTCTTCCCTTATATAAAATATAGGTGAACAAAGCAATAGTTCCTGGATGCATGGCAGAAATATGGCATTTTGGTGTTTCTGAGCTACAATGTCCCAGTGAAAAGATCAAAGAGCAACACCCAAACCCCATCCCTCCATTAAGTCAAAGACACACAGAGGGACCCTCCCTCTGAGCAGTATCACCCACAAAAGCCTTCACCCTGTGACAGGAGTGCCAGGGAGGGATGGGAAGGGGAGCTGAGAGGACAATGGTGTCAGCAAGGATATAGGGGACACTGGCCAGGCCCTCCTCGGTGCAGAGCACAGCTGTGGGATCAGGCAAGAGGTGACACACACAAAGAGCCATCCCAAGCAACCCGCCAGGGTCTCGTTACCCACCCTAAACCTCTCTCCCCAGGTGACCTGTTGTCTCCAGCTCCACCCTCAGCTCCCCCAGCCTGACCCCATCCCCACCCCAGGATGGGCACTGTGCCCCTCCTCACACACCAAACGCCCTCCCCTCTCAGCGAGCTGCCCCGTTTCTCCCCAGCACACAGCATGTCCTCTCCCTTTCCCCAGGCTGGCCCTGCCTGTCCCTGCACCACCCCACCGAAGGTCCCCATGGCCTGACCCACTCCTCAGCCCCAGCTCTCCCCACCAACCTACTCACGCCCCAGTTTGCACGGCCAACACATCCTACCAGGGCTCCCTGAGTGCCTCACTGCCTTTTACAGACCTGATGAGACACCCAGCACGGGCTTGACAGCTCTCCTGACCCCCAGCACCCTGCTCACAGGCACACACACATGTGCTCCCAGGTGCCTGCAGCCAGAGGATACTTCCACTCCACGATGCTGATGCAGGCCTTCCGCAGCGGGTTCTCCAGGGTCAGGCAGAACAGAGCCCTGGGTGGCCGAGGGGCTACTGGTGGCACCGGCTTCTTGGACTTCTCCTTCTGTTGCCTCCTCTTCACGTCATCCTGGGGAGAAGCAGGCTCCATGGTGTTGCTCCCCCCGCCGTTTCTCCCCCTCCTGCCCCACGGCCCAGCCCCTCTTCCTCAGGTCCCAGCCAGCTGGAGCTCCGCTGGGTCCCCGTCTCCTCCGTGCGACGGGGCAGGCGGTGGGGGACTGGGGGCTGGAGCCTGCACTCGCATGTCCAAACACACAAAGCACGAGGTTAAATTTAGATCCCGGCCTGGCTCTGGGTGCTGTCCCAGCTCCTGAGGCAGCAGAAGGGCCCCTGCAGCTGTTGCCTCTTTACCCAACACATGGGGAGCTGGGCGAGTGCTTCGCGTGCCGCTGCCTGGGCTGGGGGTGGGACGGGCTGCCCAGCGCCTGTGTCCCAGGTCAGCTCTCTCCCCAGTTCCCCTGGCTTTCCTGGCCTGCACTGGGAAGCAATGTGCATTTACTGAATCACACTATTGGGGGTGAGATGGAGAACCCAGCTCTGGCCAGTTCCCAAAGATAGTTTGCCCCCCCGGTCCGATCAGCCCCCTCTCTGCAGGATTTCACCTTCACTTGGTGCACACTGCTCACCCAAGCCCAGACCATGTGATCACTGGCCTTTGGGGCTGGGTCCATTTCACTGCCTGAAGACCCCAGTCTCAGAGCTCTACAAAATCGTGGTAAGTCCAAAAAGTGCTCTGGCTTGTTTTTCTGGAGGCACAGAGGAAACCCTTGGCTGACAGCGGTCACTCAAACAACCCCTTGCTCAGCCTTACAGAGGTAAGCCCTGCATACAGGATATGGAGGATGCCAGGGGATGCAGGAACCCCACAAGTCTAGGTTGGATTGTGTCCTGGCAAGTCAAGCTGGGTTTGGGAAAGACCAGCTGGATGAATGGTATGAATAGGTATGGTAACTCCTGAGCTAGGGCAAGGAGAGAGGCAAGTTATCAGCACCTTTCACAGCAGGGGACTGAGGCAGGAGGAAGTGTTGTTCCTGGGGGTTTTCCTAGTGTTTCCTAGACCGTCAGCAAAATAACTGCAGCAATCTAATTACTTACATTAATGTCCCACAGTTAATGGTCCTACAGATGTTACAGAGGGTGGGACTGACCGGCTGTGCCCCACTCGACCCCGTGCATCCCAGGGTGCTGCTCCGCCCATGGCACCGCACTGCCTCACTCACAGCTTCCTCTCCTCTGCTTTGTTCCCCATTTCCTCTACTCCCCATTCCATCGGGGAGGGAAACGACTTCCCAGGTGTGCAGCCGGCTGTGCCGAGGGCCAGGAGGGAGTGACCAGGGAAGGAGCTGATCCCTGCCCACGGCAGGGAGGTTGGACGGGACAGCAACTCCTGCAGCTGCTCCAGCCAGTTTTGATGCACTTTGGAGGAGGGTACACTCGGCTATAAAGGTGTTCATAGAATCACGGAATGGTTTGGGTTGGAAGGAACCTTTAAGATCATCTTGTCCCAACCCCCCTGCCATGGGCAGGGGCATCTTCCACTAGGGTTAAATTAGCAATATGCCCCCTCCTACACCACTCTTGCATTTTGTGCGAAGTAAAGTCAAATCATTTCTGCTGCGGGGTCCAGCCCCATCTCCTTGTGAGGCAGGAAACTTGCACAACGTGTGTTCGCACTTCTCCCTTGGCCCTCGTTCCCCCTCTAAACCCCAAGCGAAAGCCAGGAGCCGCATTCCCGCTGCTGCCTGTGCAGAAGAGCCCTTCCCGCAAGGGCGCGGGGCCCATCTAGCGGGGATCTCCAGGAGGAACATCTGCCCTGGGAAGCCGAGGAGGAGGGCGGGCGAGCGGGGCGCGGGCAGGGCTGGGGGGGGACCCCCGAGGTCCCTCTGATCCCCCCGTGTGCAGCCTCCCCCCTGTGCTAGCACAGGGCTGTGCTGGCACCCACCGACCCGGCTCGGCCCCAGCACACCCGCTGCAGCGCTCCGAGCCGTTCCTACCCACCTCCTGCCTCGGGAAACCTCTCCAGAGCCATCCTCCTCTTCCTCGCACCCTTCCCGCGCCTTCGCGTCCCCCGCCCGCTCCATCACCGCACAGGAACGGCCTTGGGAAGGGTCCCAAAGGCAGGGGCTGTCTCCCCTCGGGGTCATCTCCTGCCGCCGAGCAGAGCCGAGCAGAGCCCAGCCAAAAACTGCATTCGCCGCTCCCCGTCCCGCTCCGCCCCCCTCCCCGCCCCGCTCCTGCCCCTCTCCCCGCCCCGCTCCTGCCCCTCTCCCCGCCCCGCTCCTGCCCCTCTCCCCGCCACACTGGAGTAACTGTACAGTCAAGGCTTATGAGGAGCCCCTGAGATGAAGGGGGCACAGGGGAGGGGAGGATGCACCACCCCAGCTGGGCGCCTGTGCTCGGCCTCGCTCCTGCTTGGACCGGGGGTTCCAGGGCTGCAGGAGGATCCATCGGTCGGCAGCAGGGACATGTTTTCATTTGCCGAGAGTTTACTTCCACAACCCCTGATCTTCTCTTGTTGAGTATGGCCCGTGGAGATGCACACGTGGTCTTCATATTTAGGTAGACAGAAAGCACCCCTTTACCAGGGTTGAACCCACAAACCAAAACCCCTTATAAGAAGATTTACTCAAATCCTGCAGTAGATGGAAATACCTGCACTGAAGACAGTGACGAGGTAAGGCTGTGACTCAAAGAGTTTTTTTGAGTTTTCTCAAAACTGTCATGGACAGTATGTAAAATAGCTCTGCCCTGAATTATTTGATGAGGGAATGAAGTCTTTGGGTCATGGAAGGGAAAAGAGCCACTGCCTGCCCTGTACTTGTGAAGAGGGTCTTCTGGCAAAGCTACTTTGAGCATTTTGTTTTTTTAAGATTCATCCATCTAAACAGACATGGCTTTCATAGTCGGTTTATACATTCACATAGACAAGAGTTTAAGCAACCCTTTATTGCATAAACATCAAAGCAGTCACTGCCTCCCAAAGCAGAAAGCACAAGAAGAAACAAATATGGTTTCAGTGACATCACCTTCCATTTGTGCACTGTTCCTGGACCCAGCCTTCTTCTGGGAAAAGGACTCATGAACTAAATGGCAAAACATTTCCCTTTCCCAATAGGCTTTCCAACCCATAGTTTCCTCACAGGGATGCTGCCTGCATTCTAGGCTGTGCTTGGTCAACTTCCTCAAAGGATGACAAGAAAAGCCACATTCAGCTGGGCCAGATGTCCACACGTTTCAGTGCCCTGTCCCTCACACCAGCCAGGAGCAGATGCTCAGGCAAATTTAAGGAACAAGGTTGTGTTTCATCATAGTTTCTGTTCTCTCTCTGTCAGTGAATTGTACTCCCCACCATAGTCAGTGACTGTCATAATCATAAGGCAACACAATTCTTCAGGTCTGATACAGCATTCATCAATTTTTGTTTTCTCACTTCAGACACTCCAATAAGGATGGGCAAAAAAATGAAGGAAGGGGAGGGAGGACTGGAGGAAGGGAGGGATGAAGGAGAATAAAGAGAATAGAGAAAGACACAAAAAGAGAGAGAAACACTAAATGTTGCAAAGCCCTGTTAGTTAAGGTAACAGAATCTTGAGATGGGATTATGCAAGTAAATGGCTGAAATTCCCCCTGTAGTGCCCTGCTGCTAAGCCTTGTTTGTTTTAAGCCACCAGCTCTAAGTTCTCTATTTGCATTGCGGCAGTACAAAGGCCTCCCAGGGTCAGCCAGCACAGCCAGCACCCTCTCTACCTTAATAATATGCTTTTAAGTCCCCACACCCATCCATTTCTGTAGCCTCTGTTCCAAACACTCTCACTCTTCACCTCTGGTGATGCTGAGAAAACAATCGATGCCTGTGGAGTGATTTAGCAGCCCTTGACAAAGGAGCTCAGGTTTCTGCCCTGGCAGTGGTTTTTCCAGCCGTACCTGGAGAACAAATACATTATGCAGTTTGAGGATTGAATTGGTTATAAAAACAGACTTGGTTAGTCTTTGAGAGTCTTGGGTGAAGAAAGGTGGGCATGAAAGAATCTAAGGGAGCTGGGGGAAGAGAACAAAAAGGGAGATCTCTGGGAGAGGAGGGAAATTTAGGGAGCTAGAGCAGGTGCTGAAAGGGAGGACTCCTCACTGCTTTCAGCTCTAGGAGAAGGACTGTGCTAACCTTTACCAAATACAGCTTCTCACCCATTGCTCCCTCCCCCCCCCCTCCCCCCAGTTAGCAGCAGGATTTTTTTTATCTCCTTTGCCCACTCTTCCCCAGTGTCCACTGCAAATATCCTTACCAGGGAGTGAGGCCACGAGCCTCCTGGGCAATCTTCTTGGCACACTGAATGTCATCCTCAATATTGTCATCTTGCAGTTCTGTAGAGAAAGGAGAAAAAGTCAGTGTGGAGGAAAGAGGGCCAGAGGAAGAGCAGGGACAGACTGGCAGAAGGAAAGGTGTTCATCAGGAAGGGAAGGTGGGACACTGAGAAGATGGATGAATAGAAGGACACATGGATAGAAATGCCCGGAGCGGCTGCTGGGCAGGAATCACGGACAGAGCAGGTGCTTTCAAGGAGTGGACAAAGAAAAGCTCTTTGTTCTGTCCCACCACTTACTTGAGCAACTGATATGGCAGGCATTCTTGGCTCCAGCTGTCCTGCCATCGTTACACCAGTACTTGCTGTTGATCTGGAAGATGCCGTAGTCCCTGCTCGGCCCGTTGTTGTTGTAGGCCTTGGTGTCGTAGCTGCTCTCGTATTTTATCAGGCACATCCCTGCAGGAGGAGGAGGCATCCCACAGGAGAACATCAAGGTATGCCCAAGGTAAATAAAAGGAAAGAGGTGGAAGGATTAAGGATGAGTGAGGTGCTGAAGAAGTAATTAAACTGGTGATATTGTAAGCTTGAGAATTGGATGGGTAAATGCTTGGAAGGATGAAGCTCTGGCTGGGTATTTGTTGTGTAAACTAAACAAGGGAGCACAGAAGGGGATGAGGAAGAGAGATGATGAAGTCAAAGGAATGGAGGGACAGAATAGTGCTGCTGGAACATGACAAAGAAGTTGAGAGGGAGAAGGGTGGGACAGGCAGAGAGGTCCAATGGCAGCTCGTTATACTCACAATCAGCAACAGTTTTGCCCACAAAGCCCTCAAATCCATTCCTACGTAGGATCTTCACCATCTCACATCGGGGGATGGTTTTTCCCTGGGTGCCTGGCAGAGCCAGAGCAAGGAAGGCAAGAAGGAAGCCGAGGAACAGCATTGACTTTCTCATCATGCAGTCCACAGCAAGATGTGCCAAAGCAACTTGAGCTGTCTCTCTGCTAAGGACTGCCTTTTATTCCTTCCTCCCGGAGGAGGATCAGCTGGCTAAACAAGCATGACTGGGAAGTCTGGGCGGTCTTTACAGTAAAAAGCCAATAAGGAAGTGGGCCAAACTCCAAAAAAAATCCTGGAAGGTGCCAGTAACTCTTTCACTGGTTCTGCAAGGCTGAGGCATTCCACAGACAATCCAGCAGTCCTCAGTTTGATATTATTCCAAGTATCATGGATCAGAGGTTGTGGTTGCCTTGTGTGAGTGTCATGGCTTAACCCCAGTACTCTGCTGAGTTACTCAATCTCTCCCACCTGGTAGGATGGGGGAGAGAATTGGAAGTTTAAAAGTGAGAAAACTGATGGGTTGAGACACAGACAGATTAATGGGGAAAACAAAAGCCATGCATGCAAGCAAAGCAAAATAAATATTTAACACACTTCTTCCCATCAGCAGGAAGATGTTCGGCCACCTCCAGGAAAGCAGGGCTCCACCACGTATCAACAGTGGCTTGGGAAGACAAACACCACCTCTCCACATGTCCCACTCCTTCCTCCTTCCCTCAGCTTTGTACACTGAGCATGATGCCATATGGGCTGGGCCAGTGGGGGTCAGCTGTCCTGGCTGTGTCCCCCCTTGTCATGGTTTAGGAATGGCATTCCCCAGTTTAGTACTCCCACTAAAAAGACCATGAGCTGCTCCCCTCTCTGCCTCCATGGGAGGCACAAAAGGCAAAGATCACGGGTTGAGATAAGAACAATTTACTGGAAACAGCAATGAGACAAGAAAATGAACAGTAACAGCAACAACATTAATAACAAAAGTGTG